TAGCTGAATCAGTAATATGAGTTTCTCATGATACAGTTGTGAATAGCTTCATCCCCAATCTATATTTTGCTCCAAATAAAAAATAATCATTTAAGTATGTGTTTTGCTCATTTTGTATTAATCAACTATGTATCCAAATTTTGTAATTTAGACAAATATTCAGCAAATGTTTGCCCACTTACTAAATTTTTTCTGATAAATGTGGGGAAATTTGATGAACTAACTTTGTGATTGTGGCATTTGACAGCAAGTGAAATATGCGACAGATTTGCTACCTCTGGTTCTCATGCTAACATGATAACTTACTTGACCCAAGAGCTAAACATGCCGCTCGTGAAGGCATCCAACACCCTCACAAATTTTGCAGGCACCGCCAGTTTCACGCCACTCATCGGTGCTCTGATTGCCGACTCCTTCGCCGGCCGGTTTTGGACTATCATCGTTGGTTCTGTTATATATGAACTGGTCCATTCTCTATCTCTCTATCTCTTAGTCTCCGATCAACAAGTGAACTGAAAATAAAATTTTAATAGATTCAACCATATTTTTTTAGTTTCCTATATATAGATATATAACAAAATCAATATTAGAAATTTTTTGTTTAAATTTATAGTCATTATTCTTTCATTTCCTTTTATTCCTCCCATTTATGAAAGGATAACAAAATCCACCCTTCGTGCCTAATCTATATCCCTCCAAATACCTCCAATTCCTTTTTTTGTTATCCTTCAATTAATCAATTATTTTTATTTTTTTAAATTGTCTTTCATAAAAATATCAAGAATAAAGACAAAATCGATATTAGAAATTTTTTGTTTAACTTTATAGTCCTTTTCCCTCCTCCCATTTATGGAAGGGTAACAAGACTTACCCTTCATGTCTAATTTCAAGTCCTTCAAATACCTCCAATTCCTTTCTTTTCTTCAAAGATATATATCAAACACAATATAACATTTCCCTCCACTACCTTTCTTTTCGGGATTATGAAAACGGACATTTTCATTACTGAGTTTATAAAAAACTGAACTTTACAAAGTTTTTGTATATTTTTCTAATTTTCCATTCTCTAAAAATAGAAAACTATTTTTTTGAGTGAAAAACCAAACATTCTTTGATATGTGGCATGCATGCAGGGACTGGTGAGCATCACAATATCAGCACTCTTGCCACAGTTTCGTCCCCCACCGTGCCCAACTCAAGAGAATTGCAAGGATGCCTCAAACACCCAACTATGGGTTCTCTACATCTCTCTCCTCCTCCAATCTCTTGGCTCTGGCGGCATCAGGCCGTGCGTGGTTACCTTTGCCGCCGACCAGTTTGACATGAGCAAAGCAAAACAGGATGCTCGGAGCTGGAATTTCTTCAACTGGTACTATTTCAGCATGGCAATGGCCACGCTGTCGGCTCTAACCATCGTGGTTTATATCCAAGACAATGTCGGGTGGGGTTGGGGTCTCGGACTTCCAACCATTGCCATGGCTGTGTCTATCATAGCCTTTGTTTTCGGTTCTTCCCTTTATATTAAATTGAAACCGGGAGGAAGTCCGTTGGTTAGGTTGGCTCAGGTGATTGTTGCTGCTGCGAAGAAGAGGAAAGCACCTGTACCCGCGGATCCATCACTCTTGTATGAAAACAAAGAGCTTGATGCTGCTATTTCTTCCAATGGAAGGCTTTTACATACAAACCAGTTCAAGTAAGATTTGATACTACATAATTATATATATGGTCGCAGATGTCTCGATAGACTGTGAATTAGTGCCTCTAGTGGACTTTTGAGTGCTAAATTTCGACTTTCGACTCTCTGTATTTACTAATTTAACTTTTAACGCTTCTTCCCTTAAATATATATATATGGTCTAATAAGTTAATTTGAAATTAAGGCATGCAGTTTAATTAGTATATATGCAACTTAAATGCTAGGTAGCTGATGCTGCAACTTCCAATTAAGGTCTGCTTTTCAAGAATAGCAGCTACTTTAGACTTAGTAACTTGAATTTAGGATGAATTTCTTTCGCATGAAACCTATTGAAACTTATTTGTTTAAAACATTTTAATTTTAAAGAAGTTCACCATGCATCTTGTTTTGATAATTGAATCCCATCTTAAAAAAGGGTATGATAGTAATTTAGTCGACCTTTTTTCAAATAAGAATTCTATTATTTTCTTTCTTTTCCTTCACAGTAAATTATTGTCATCGTTATATTATTATTATTTTTTTCTCTCCTGTTTATCTAAACGAATTGTGTCTGTTATAATTCGATGATCATTAATTTGATGGTTGAAGGTGGTTTGATCGAGCGGCTATAGTAACTGAAGATGACAACAAAGGCAACGACTCAAATTACCAGCAGCAGCCAATCAATCTATGGAGGCTAGCCACCGTTCATCGAGTGGAAGAGCTAAAGTCCATCATCCGGATGCTACCCATCTGGGCAGCCGGAATACTACTAGTGACTTCACATTCACATATCCACAGCTTCACCATCCAACAAGCTCGGACTATGGATCGCCATTTCTCCCACCACTCAACATTCCAGATGCCTCCGGCCAGCTTGTCAATCTTCAGTATCGTAGTCGTGCTGGTTGGGCTCGTAGTGTACGAACGCCTCTTTGTCCCCCTTGCTCGTCGGTTCACAGGAAACCCTGCTGGAATCACATGCCTGCAGAGAATGGGGGTAGGCTTTAGTGTCAACATTCTTTCTACCATTGTTTCAGCCCTAGTCGAGGCGAAGAGGAGAGGGGTAGCAGCAAATCACGGCTTGCTAGACAAACCGCGAGCCATTCTACCCATAAGTGTGTTTTGGTTGGTGCCTCAGTTTTGCCTCCATGGGATGGCCGAGGTTTTCATGTCCGTTGGGCACCTGGAGTTTCTCTATGACCAGTCACCGGAAAGCATGAGAAGCACTGCAGCAGCACTCTACTGGATAGCAATATCCATCGGAAACTATATAGGTACACTGCTTGTGTCTTTAGTACACAGTTACACCGGGAAAGAAAGGAATTGGCTACCGGACCGGAATCTTAACAGAGGAAGATTGGATTACTATTACTGGCTTGTCACAGTAATACAAGTAGTAAATCTCATATATTATGTACCTTGCGCCTACTTTTATACTTATAAGCCCTTGGAAGAGGAGGTCAAAGATCAGAATGGAGATGATCATGTTGCATTCAAGCCATTGAATTCTGAGAAAAGTCCAAATATTGGCCAAGCAGCAGTGGAGCTCCAAAGAAATGATCGGTCTGTTTAAAGCGATCGATCAGTACTTTAATTATAGATGCTGTATCTATAGAAATTTAATTTGTAGTATTTTCTCGCAGATTTTAGTATGTGCACGGAACAAGCTGGTGACATACGTATAAATAAAATTAAATAACTTTATCTTAATTTTATTTTCGTGTAAGAACAATGATACATCATCCAAATTCAAAATATATATTCATTTTTCCAACGGTAATGTTTCAGTTTATTACCAGACCTGATTAATCTACTACTAATATATATTTTCACTGACCTCCAAAAGTAAGTTTCCAACATAGTCTTCCCATTAATAATCATACATTATTTCAATATTGTTGCACAACAATTAATTATATACCACTTTTTGTTTCTTGCTAGTTTGACATTCTCAGAGTACAACATTTCAGCACAGCTGCCACATTCTCCTCATAATTAATAATCATCACCACCATCTTGTTAGAATGGGTTCAGCGACCTGTGTGTCTCAGTACAAGCTTGCAATTGCTTAGAGGCATGGTATTGACAAGATCAATATATATATATATATATATATATATATATATATATATATATATATAAATATGTTAGTATTATAATGATGGGCAATATGATTTTTCAAAACAGCAAGGCACACTCACCTTGTAGTTGCATCCTCATCTGTTGGATTGATCCTCTAATAATGCAACACGACCATATATTATAACAATGACACCCGTGTAACTCTTTTCAGATGGATTTTAGCAATTCCAAACGGCAAATTTTTATTTTTATTTTATTATTATTATTATTTTTCCCTCACTTTTGATATTCAACACACCAATAGTCTGCAATAATGCAATGTGACTTCCATGAGCAATCCTCTGCTCTACGTTCTATCTGTTACATAACTAAAACCTGAACTATAACCTAGCCGAAGGAAATGAAAGCTGTAACTACCATGTAACAGCTCCGATTTCATCAAGTTCTAACTCCTTTACTCAGCTGCTGATGCTATAAAAAGATTGCTTGTGTACCAAGATGCAGACGACAAATTTCTTGTAAACGCTCTCTCATCATCGACTAGAATCTCAACACTGCAGACTTAAAATAGCCAACAATAGTTCATAACAACCATGTAGATTCTTAATGTTCTGGTATAAATTACAAGATTTTTTAGCACAACGAAGCATGAGCCTACAAGGATGTTTATTTGGCAAAACATCCTAAAGGCAAACAAATAGTGACATTTCATCATGTTCAAGGCTCTACCTCCATTTGCAAGGTCAACGATATATCTGTGATGCCCCAGCAAAGGAATAATAGGATGAGACAGGAAAATTACCCCCTGACGACCCGGGCCTTGCGGATGCAGGGGCATTTGGTAGCACAGGTGGTCGAGCATAAGGAGTTGTGTGCATTGAGGAGAAGTTGTAGTATCCCCGCTGCAGAACAATTTCTCTCTGCAAGGGTAATCCGTGATGCTCACTTTCGACCCCAAAGAATCGATCATGAGGAACCATCTGCTGTGCAGGCCTATACCTGGCACATCGGCGATACAAAATAGCTATGAGGCTTTGGTTTCACAAATGGAGAGAATTCAGAAATGAAAAACAATGTGCAACTTGTGCAGGGCATAAATCTGATAAAATTAGTAACAATTAATTTTTATAATGCCAGTATGACGTATTCCTCACTTGATGGCATTAGATGTATGAAAAGAAAAAAAAAAAAAAAAAAAAAATTAGATAGAGAGAGAGGTCAGCACCAAATCAGCATATAATTTTTTTTTTTTTTTTTTTTTTTATTATTATTTTTTTTCTTTTCTAGTTGGTACTCACACACACATGCCTCCAAGGCTCCACCGAGGTTCAAACCCCTTACCTCCCTTTGGAAAATAGAAACCTGGTACCACTAGGCCACTAGGAGTTCTAGTTTTAGTTGCTCCATAGCTATGGTTTTGGTGAAAGGCCTTTTTCCACCCCTCCTGGGTAAGTTTTTGGTGAGAGGTTGATTGCTTGGTTGAAGGAATGTTTGAAATCAGTACGGCACTCAGTCATGGTCAATCGATCAAAGGTTTTTTCCAATCAGAAGAGTGGTTTGAGGCAGTGTTCTCCTTTATCCCATCTACTTTTCAAATGTGTAGTTGACTTAATGGAAAAATTGGACAGAAAAGGCAGACCTAAACCATCCCATGCTACAAAAAAAGGCTGGTTTTAACATTTGCCATCTTTTTGCAGATGATTTAACTATGTCACCCATGCCAGCATAAATTCTGCGGCTGGTATTAGAGGTGTGTTAATCAAAATTTGAGAACTGCTCTGCACCTTCCGTCGGCAAAGGAAAGAGCTTGGTCTTCTTTTCAAAAGCCGGACGAAGGAAAATAACTCTCTTGAATATTTTGGATTGCAAGGGATGGTCATTACCCATCAAGTATTTAGGGCTTCCTCTTGATGAGTACGACTTCAAAAGGGAGGCTTGCTTACCTCCTATTGATGTGGTTTAGGCTAACTTTTGTTCGTGGAGTTCCAAGATGCTCTCTCTTGCAGAGAAACTAGAGCTTCTGAGATCAATTATCACTCTGTTCTTATATTTCTGCTATTCAGTTTTTAGACTGCAAGCCTCAGTTTTTTATGTTTATTTGTGGAAGTACTGAAAGGTCTAGACTTAATTATATGAAATGAGATCACTCTACCCAAGGTAGAAGGAGGTTTTGGAGTTAAAAGAATATATGATATGGAAGCTGCTGCTGCTTGTTCTATGGTTTGGGATCACCTCCAAGGAAAAGATAGGTTGTGGGTGTAGCTTGGTTTAAAAATAAGTACTCACCTAACTCTTCCTGCCGGAGTTGTATACCTTCAATCTCTCAGTCAAATTATATGGAAGCAGATGCTCTCAGTTAGAGACATTATTTTATCAGTAGCTTCTTTTCATGTGGGTGATGGAAATACAATTTGTTTATTTGGACATTGTTAGCATATATGATAGCCACGATTTATGGAATGACTTACCGTATTAGCAGAGATTTGATTATGCTATAGAATATGCCATGGAATATTCTGTGATTTGATTTAGATTTGATTTAGATTTCCTTCCTTGTAATATGAGAATGTGCTCTTTTTATCTATAAATACTAGAACTATGAATGAGTTATTTATCTTATTCTAGCCTTTACACAATTCTCTCTCTTTTTCTTCTATATTATATTTCCACTGAGATCCATGGTGAGGAGGCATGACATTGGGGCAGAGAGTTTGGACATAGATCAGTTAGATTGATTCCACTTGATAAGAATTCAACCTTAATGTTCTTCTTTCAAATGGTAGTAGGAAATTTGCTGCTTTGAATCATGAAGACTTGCAGCCTCTGAATCAATTCTTACTTGATATTCAAATTCATGCAGGTCAAAATGAGATTTTGTGGGATGGTGGTTCTTTTTTCCTTCAAGCAGGCTTGAAATAGTTAGGAATGCAAAGCCTTGATCTAATATTTGTTGGAAAAAAGGTAGACCTATAACTATGTGACTTGTTACTTGGTAATGCTTGACAAGCTTCCTACCTTTGTGAAGGTGCAGAAGAGGGGATTTCATCTTAGTTCTATTTGCACAAATTGATTCCAGAACCAAGACACTACGGATCATTTTCTATCAGTGTGACTTTGCCAAGGGAGTTTGGAACTGGTTTGGTGCTCTTTTGGGATGGAATATGCCTGCGTTTAATAGCTTTGACTGTCTCACAGATTGGTTTGTGCAGAATTTGAAGTCAAACTCTCTTAGAGCTAATATTGGGAGCATGGTTTTCACAGCTATCTTATCTGTTATTTGGCAAGAGAAAAATTAGACTCCATGAAGAGACTGGAAGATTTCGTGCAGGCGTTGCTAGATCAGTGTAGTTTGATGTCTTGATGTGGCTAGGATTTCACTTGAGGATGATATTACTACTTAGGCTGCTTTTTAATGTTTGATGGGCTTCTTAAGAGGAACTTGAAAAAAGTGCTTTCACAATCTTTTCTTTATTGTTAATTTTTCCTTTTCTGCACAGAGGGAATGCCCTCACTTATTGCCCCGGTACCTTTTTTCTCTTCATTTGTTCATAAAATTTCCTTCCATTCAAAAAAAAAAAAAAAAAAAAAAAAAGAGACACTCAGGACCAAAAGCCGATCATCAACAAGCTACGGCCAGAAATTCAGAATAAAACTGACCAACATCTACATCCCAATGGGGACTTTAGCCCTTCACCTCCCCCTTTGAGAGTACAAGGAAATACCAGTCTAACAAACTAGTGGTATAACCTAACTATTTTGTTCCCTAATTATTATACTTCAAATCAAATAATAAGGATAATTTAGGCATTTTAAAAAGTAGAGACCAAAACCTCACCCTACCTTAATATAACAGCAGTACATATGAATTCCAATGCTCCTTTAGAAAGGAAAGAGAAAGAGAAATATAAAACATAAAAATCATGCATTCATATATGTGGTTGTTTTTAAATCATGCATTCATCCATGAGAGAGAGAGTTTCTTGTGACAGAGACGCGGCTTGAGCCTACTACTCCGACCAGTCACCGGAGTCATCTACTCCAGTGAAATCCTCAGTCACTTTCTTTGGTTCTCTCTCTTTCCTCTCTTGTGGTTTGGTTTTTGTTATGCGTTCTTTCTTGGAGGTTGCGAGACTCCCTCGTTTGTTTCAAGGAGGCTCGGCGAGATCAACTTCTACGTACAGAGGGTTGTCGTTTTTCTTGGATGATGACTCAACGGGTAAGAGGAGAGAGAATTTGAGATCTTGTTTGGTTGGGAAATTCGACAAAGAAGTGGGATCTAGGGCTCAGATTGCAGATTGGGCCTCGCGTATTTGGAAAGTGTCTCCGACTATGGTAGTGTCGCCTCTGCCGGATTCTTTGCTCCTTTTTCGTTTTCCTTCTTCGGCGGAAGCAGAAAGAGTGCTTAAGGAGGGGCAACGTGACTGGGGGAAGGCAACTCTTTGTGTGGATTAATGGAGTTTCAAGGTTGGCTGCTCCGAGGTTCTGAAAGAGCAAGGGTTGAAGATGGTAACATTGTATGGCCTCCCTTTACATCTTTGGAGTCACGCTCTTTTTGTGATGGTTGGGGATTTGTGTGGAGGTTTCATTTGGGTGGATGCTGATGAGTCCCTTGATGCTGAGAAGGTTCGGATCACTGTGGCTGATGGTCGTGCTTGCCCGCCGTTCATTTTTGTTCATGATGATCGTTTTTGTTACAACGTGGTAGTTTGGGAGGAAACGCCTCCTCAACTTGTTCCGACAACTGACAGCTTGGAGTGGGGGGGTGGGTCTCACTTGTTGAAGGAGGTAAGTGTTGAGATGGGCTTCTATGGGCGAGAAGGGGATGGCTGATTTCCGGCGATGGAAGGCTTGGAGGGATAAGCTTTGGGATCGTAATATAGCATGCTTTAGAAGAATTTTCACTCAAAGAAGGTGAGAAAGCTCTTCTTCCTTGTCGGTAGGTGGTTGGAAAGTTCAGAGTAGCGGCGGCTTTACCACTGGCTGTCAGTTACAGAGATGGGATCAAAGATTTCAAAGGAATGGTTTTCACGCGCAGCCGGCGCGTGGGTGGGGGAGCAAAGATGCCCTTACATGGTTGGCGCAGAAGTGTTGCCCGTTCCAAATGGGTTACAGCTGGCTCTAATTCAAATTCAGTTGTGCGGTCAGGAATGGATAAGGTGGTTTCAGGCGTTGGTGGGCTAGATGTTGGGCCATTTAAAAAAGAGTTAGTGGTGTGGGCTCAGGACTCTTGTGGGCCGATTGTGGGCCTCTTGCTGGGCCTATCCTTAATGGTGTGCAAGATCCAGTACGTTGTGGTCTTGATAGAGGTAAAGCGGCCCAATTTGTTGTTTCTGAAGGCATGGAAAGTACCTCTGCTGGGTTGGGCTGTGGGTTTCTGGATGGGTCGGGTTCTCAGCCTGTTTCCTCCGAGCCTGTTTTTTCCGGGCCTTTTTGCTCTGGCCTTGAAGTGGCTAACTGTTTTGGACCACTGCCCTCCTCGTTTGATGGTCCATTGGCCCAACCGTCTGGTTCATCTTTGATCTCAGTTGGACGGCGAATTTGGAAGCATCAACATAGGCATCGTCTGAGGTCTAAGAAGCGGGTTTTTATCCCTCCCTTTCGTCGAAGATGGTCTCGGAAGGAAAAACAGAAGTGGGTTCCAGGTGCAGTGCTTGATCCGGGTAAGTCCGTTTCTGTTTAAAGTTTCTCCTCTGTTTTTCCTTCATCTGCTCCCCCATCTCCTTCTTCAGTGATGGTGAATGAGCCCTCGGCGAGGTCGAAATCTGTTTCCAGAAACCTCTCCTTAGTTACGATGGGGTGGTGAGTGGGTGGGGAGATTTGCTCGAGGACTGTAAGGTTGGTGGGTTGGGCCACTCTCGATCTGTTGAGTGCAAGGGAGAATGTGTTACTGTTTGCGTGGGACGTGATGTGAAGATTTCTTTGGATAATGATTCAGCTTCTGTGCTTTTGAAAGAACTACGGAATCATCTTGCTTTGAAAGGTTTTCAGAATGAACAGGGGGGTCACATAGCAGAAGAGGTGTTTGGGACTCCGCAGTCTTACTGCTCTCCTTCCTCGTTGGCTGTGGAGGTTGGGGAGGATGGGTCGTGCTCCCCCTTTTAATGGGGATTTGGGATTGGTTTTGTGGAACGGATGTGAGTCTGACTGTGAGTTGCTTACCCCTTTGGCTGTGGTTAGACCGGAAGGGGTTGCTGCGGATGGGACTGGTTTTGATGCAAATGTGGCTGTTTTGGAGAATGATTGGATAAGGGAAAAGGGGGTTGAGGTGGGTTCCCTGCTGGGAGTTTCTTTTGAGGGTCGGATGGAGGAGGCAACAAGTTTATTTCTTGATGTGCTTAATTCTCAGTTTGCTGAAAGAATGGGAAGTAGGGAGAGTAGGGGGAGCTCCCCGGTGAGGAGGGAGGAGAGGAGGGTGCCGAGCCCCTTGACTTTCGTCACTTATGAAAGGAGAAGTAAGGGGTCTAAGGAAAGGGTTAGTGGAAGGAGGGGAGAAACTGTCAACTCTATTGTTTCCCTATGAAGATACAAATTCTTTCATAGAATATCCGAGGTCTTAACGATCCAGCTAAAAGGAAAGTGGTGAAATCGATTATTAGGAATGGGGGTGGTCATGTTGTGTGTTTGCAAAAAGCCAAGATTGCCTCGATGACGAATGTGATTGTTCGTAGCTTGTGGGGAGGGAGATTTGTGGACTGGTTTGCCTTGGATGCGATTGGCTCTTCGGGTGGTATCCTGATTATGTGGGATAACTGGTGGGTCTCTTTGTTGGACTCTCAGTCTCAGCTTCCTGTGTTCTTTCTATGGTGGAGGATGGATTTCGTTGGGTTTTTTTTGGCGTCTATGATCCTTTAGAGGATAGTGTTTGTCAGTTGCTCTGGGAGGAATTGGGGGAGATTCGAAGGAGATGGTCGCTGCCTTGGTGTATCGGTGGGGATTTCAATGTTGTGCGTTCTCTTTTTGAGAGGTTGTCCTTCTCAGAGTTCATTGATGCTTATTGTTTGTTTGATTTGCCTTTGGTGGGTGGGCCTTTCACTTGGTCTAGTGGTCGCTCTCCTTCTACTCTCTCTCGAATTGACAGATTTCTTTTGTTGAGTGATTGGGAGGAGAAGTTTTCTGATGTTGTTCAGACCACTTTGGCTCGTCCTTTGTCGGACCATGTTCCTTTGATGTTGGATTGTGGTGGGTTGCGGAGTAGAAGGTCCCCTTTCAGATTTGAGAATATGTGGCTTCGGGCTGAGGGTTTTCTGGAGCGAGTCTGATCCTGGTGGGTAGGGTATGGAGTGGTTGGCACTCCAAGTTATTCTCTCGCAGGCAAGTTACGTCTTTTGAAGAATGATCTTAAAGTTTAGAACAAAGAGGTGTTCGGAAATCTGGCTTGGAGGAAGAATCGGGTTCTTTCTGAGATTGCTGATATTGATAGGATGGAGGGTCAGGGTCTTTTGCCGGTTCCCTTGAAGATTAGGAGGGTGGAGTGTCAGGCAAAGTTTGCTGAGATCGCTGTTATGGAGGAGATTTCGTGGAGGCAGAAGTTTAGAGCTTTGTGGCTCAAGGAAGGCGACAATAATACAAATTTTTTTCATAGACTTGCCAATGCTCACAAAAGGGGCAATCACATTGGGAGGATTCGGGTGGATGGGGAGTTGTTTTGTAAAGAGGAGGAGATTTGTAAGGGTTTTGCTGATTTCTTTTCGAGGTTGTTCACTGAACCAGCTGGTTGGCGACCTTTGCTTGCTGGGCTTCACTTTGACTCTATTTCGAGTGAGGAGTGCTCTATTTTGGAAGAACCTTTTTCGGAAGAGGAAGTTTTGTCTGCTTTGAAGAGTTGTAACGGGGATAAATCCCCAGGTCCTGATGGATTTTCTATGAGATTCCTTTTGGAGTGTTGGGAGGTTGTTCGTGAGGAGGTGATGGGTTCTTTTCACGCTTTCTATGATCAAGGCTCTTTTGAGAAGAGCTTGAATGCCACTTTTATTGCTCTTATTCCAAAGAAGGGAGGGGCGATGGATGTAAGGGATTTTCGCCCCATTAGTTTGGTGGGATGTTTTTATAAGTTGATTGCTAAACTCTTGGCTTCCAGGTTGAGAAAGGTTATGGATGGCGTCATCTCTGATTCTTAGAATGCCTTCGTGGGAGGTAGACAGATTTTGGATTCAGTTCTTATTGCTAGTGAATGTGTGGACTCTCGTTTGAGTTGTGGGGTTCCGGGTGTTTCATGCAAGCTGGATATTGAGAAGGCGTATGATCATGTGAGTTAAAGTTTCCTCCTATACTTGTTGGAAAGGATGGGGTTTGGTGAGCGTTGGAGGAGATGGATTCTTTTTTGCATCTCTAGTGTTTGGTTATCTATCCTTGTGAATGGGGCTCCGACGGGATTTTTCTCAAGTTCGAGGGGCTCGAGACAAGGGGATCCGCACTCTCCCTTCTTGTTCCTTTTTGTGATGAAGATTGATGAAGAGGGCTGTGGAGTTGTGTTTTTTAAGAGGGTTTCGGGTGGGCAGGGATGCTACTTGTCAACTGGAGACTTCCCACTTGATGTTTGCTAATGATTCTTTAGTGCTTTGTGATGCTAATGCGTCCCAACTGAGGTATTTGAGATGTGTTTTGATTTGGTTCCAAGTTGTCTCTGGCCTCAAGGTGAATGTTGGTAAGAGTGTTCTTGTGCCTGTTGGGGATGCTCCTGAGATTGAGATATTTGCTCAGATTCTTGGCTGTCACACTGGCTCTTTTCCAATTTCTTACTTAGGGTTGCCTTTGGGAGCCCCTTCGAGATGTACGAGGAGCTGGGATCCTGTTGTGCATAGATTTGAAAGGAGGTTGGCAGGGTGGAAAAAGCAATACCTCTCAAAGGGCGGCAGGGTCACGCTGATTAAGAGCACCCTTTCTAGCCTTCCCAATTATTTATCTCCCTTTTTTTCAGATTCTTTCTTCAGTGGCTGAGAGAATTGAGAAATTGCAGTGCAACTTTCTTTTGGGGTGGGGGGTGAGAGGAGTTTAAGTATCATCTGGTTCGGTGGGATTAAGTGGGCCGTCCGATTCGATATGGAGGCTTAGGGTTAAGGAGGTTGTTACATTTCAATAAGGCTCTCCTTGGGAAATGGCTTTGGAGGTTTGGGGTTGAGAGGCGTTGGTTTTGGAGGAGAGTTATAGCGAGCAAGTTTGGGGAGAATAGTGGTGGTTGGAGCTCTCTTGAGGTGCGTGGTCCCAGGGGGTGGGGGTTTGGTCTTTCATTCAGAGGGGGTGGGATGTTTTCTGCAAGCATGTTCGTTTTCGGATCAAGAATGGTAGCATAGTTGTTAAAGGCACCGAAGGCGTGCGCCTGAGGCGCAAGGCGCCTCCAGGGGCCACCTTGGCGCCTTGATTGTCTCAAGGCGACTTCCTTGTACTAGGCGAGCGCCTCTCAGGAATAGGCGCAAGGCTACAGGCGCTCTAAAGGCGTGCCTGCTTGAAATTTTTTTTTTTTTTACTTTTTTGTTATTATTTTGGTTGTGTATGGGTTTATTATTTGTTTATTGTTTGTTTAGTTTTTATTTTTTTATTACAAAACCTATACAAGACTACAAAAGAAAAAGAAAAAGAAAAAAGGAGAACCAAGTTACCAAAAAGCAAAAGGACAGAGAAGTACGAGCTCGGAGCCTCATCTGCGAAGCTTGGAGTCTTGGATCTGCCGGATCTGCGAAGCCAATAAGTTCTCCTTCCCCCTCTTCTTCTTCTCTCCTTCTTGCTTCTCAGATCTCTCAGTCTCAGACTCTCAGATTTTTTTTTTCCTTCTCTCGGCAGTCAGTTCTCTCGAGTCTCGGCTCTTAAGTCTTGCTCTTCTTTTATTTTTTTTTATTTTTATTTTTTTTCTCTATTTTTTTATTTTTTATTTTTATTTTTTATTTATTCTTCTTCTTCTCTCAAGTCTCGGCTCTTCTTGGCCTTTTTTTTTTATTTTTTTCTCTATTCTTCTTCTCTCGGCTCTTCTTTTATTTTTTTTATTTTTTCTCTATTCTTCTTCTCTCGTCTTGGCTCTTCTTTTATTTTATTTTTCAATAGCATATCATTGTTGTAGATCATTGTCTTTCGACTCTTTCCTGGTATATATCATTGAAAAATTAAGAAATTAATTAAATTGTTTTAAAATTTCCTAATTTAAATTGTCAGTTTGAATAAATAGCATATCTTATTGGAACTGGAAGGTGAAATTCGATTAATTTATGTCATTCATTGACAGACAAAAGAGGAAATTCGATTCCTTGCCAGTTTGCAGTTGAAATAATCTGTCTATCCACTTCATTTAACGGATAAAAAGCCCTTTGACTACACGCTTCGACTTGAAAAATATATCGAAAAAAATGTATATGGTATAAGCCCCTTGAAACTCCTGATGAGGTCGTTCGTGGATGTTGTGAGGTTGCCCCGTCTGTTTCAAGGCGGATCTGTTAGATCTGCAAACACTTATCGAGGGCATTCGTTTTTTCTGGATAATGATTCGGTGGAAAAAAGAAGAGAGGACCTTCGATCGTGTTTAGTAGGAAAGTTCGACAAGGACGTGGGTGATTGGGCTCAAATCGCGGCTTGGGCTTCTCGTGCTTGGAAGGTTTCTCCCGGGGTTGTTATCTCACCTCTACCGGATTCGTTGTTGCTTTTTCGTTTTCCTTCTCCAAAGGAGGCGTCTCGTGTGCTTAAAGAAAGTCGTCGTGTTTGGGGGACGGCCACACTTCGATTGGAATCTTGGTGTTTTAGGGTGGGGTGTTCCGAGGTATTGAAGGGTAAGGGTCTGAAGTTTGTGACATTGTACGGTCTCCTGCTCCATCTTTGGAGTCATGCCTTGTTTGTTATGGTCGGCGATCTATGCGGTGGTTTCATTTGGGTGGATGCCGATGAAACAATTGACGCTGAAAGGGTTCGCATTACAGTGTCCGACGGCAAGGTTTGTCCTTCTTTTGTTTTCATCCACGATGATCGTCTCTGCTAAAAAGTGAAGGTGTGGGAAGAGAAGCCTCCTGAGCTTGTTCCGACAACGAATAGCTTGGAAGGAGGTGATGGTTCGCACCTGCTGAAGGAGAAAGAATGGTTAAGGTGGGAATCGTTGGGGAAGAAAGGTTTGGCTGAGTTTCAGAGATGGGAGGAATGGAGGGACGATTTATGGAAGCGAAACTCGGACTGTTTTAGGAGGTTTTTCTCTCTGAGAAGGAAAGAAGGCTTATCGGATGGAATTGGTGTTCGAAGGCAAGAGAGATCCCGGGAAAGGCATAAGGAGGGTGGTTTCATCGGTCTTGGCCGGCCGGCGTTCATGCAGATGTGGAGAAAGGAGCGTCGTCATGATGTTTCTCACGTCAATCAAGCGCGTGGGAGGGTGAGTGATGAAGGCCTTACACGTGGTTGGCGCAGAAGACTTGGCCGTTCAAAGTGGATGACAGCTGCATTCACTTTTGTTTCAAAGTCTTGGGCTACGAATAAAAGAAAGGCCGAATTTGGGGTTAAGTCGATGGCTGGGCCTAATTTTGGGCTAAGGGATAAAGTGCCATCTGCTGGGCCGGATGGAGGTAGTGCGGCCCAAACTTTGGATGTTGTATGTGGTGGACAAGGATCCGTTGTTGTGGGTTGTGAATTGAAGAAAGGACCGGATTCTACTATTGTTTCTTCTGGGCCAGTGTTGGGCAACCGGTTTGGGCCTTTAAGTGATGGTATTGATATCATTGAAGTTCAGTCGAACAGAGAGTTTCCTGAAGGCTCTAGAAGAAGTAGACGTGCTAAGGGGCAGGTGCAAGGCCACCGTATGAAGAAGAAAGTGATCTTTCCCCCTGTACGCAAAAAATGGTCTCGAAAGGAAAAGCAGAAGTGGATTCCGGCTTCGCAGTTCGCCGCTGGATCGGGTATGTCCTTTGCTTCGCCTAATTACTCTCTCTCTCCCTTCTTCTTCCACTTTTCATCCTTACGGGGTGTCTCGAAGGAGTTTGGAGCCGAAAAAGGGAGTTGCGTCTTCTGTGTCACAATGTTTATCTCCGGTTTTTGAGAAGGAGCCGGTGCTTGGTTTTGAGAAAAGACATGGTGACGATGGTGATTTTGAGGTGGGTTCTACTCGGTTGTGTGATGTTAACAGTGACGGATTTACTACGTGTGTGGGTCGAGATGTGAAGATATGGATTGATGATGTTTCAGCTGCTGTGCTCTTGAATGAATTGAGAACTCATCTTGTGTCGAAGGGCCCTGTCACTGAACGGAATGAACGTTTGGCCGAGGAGGTGTTTGGAACTCCTCTTTGTTGTTGCTCTCCATCTGTGTCTTCTGTTGAGTTTGGGGAGGATGGGTCGTGTTCCTCTGTTCATGGGGATGCGGGAATGGTTGTGTGGAACGGATGTGAGTCCGATGTTGACTTGCTTACACCTTTGGCAGTCGTTAGACCAGAAGAGAATTTTGCGGAAGGAAGGGAATTTGATGCAGGGTTGGCTGATTCAGAGAATGATTGGATGAAAGAAAATGGTGTCGAGATAGGTTCTCTTTTGGGTGTGTCATTTGAGGGTCGGATGGAGGAGGCGACTAATCTATTCCTAGATGTTCTTAATGCTCAGTTTGCTGATAGAATGGATTGTAGGGGGAGTGCTCCAGTGGTGAGTGAGGAGAGAGGGGTTCCAAGTCCCTCGACTGTTGTTACTTATGAAAGGAGGAGGAGGGGGGCTAGGGAGAGGGCCAGTGGGAGGAGGGGTGAGACGGTTAATTCTACTGTTTCCCTATGAAGCTCCAAATTCTCTCATGGAATGTCCGGGGTGTTAATGACCCGGCTAGAAGGAAAGTGGTGAAATCGGTGATTCGGAAAGCGGGTGGTCATCTTGTATGTCTTCAAGAAACAAAGATTGCTTCCATGACGGATGTGATTGTTCAAAGTTTGTGGGGTGGGAGATTCGTGGAGTGGTGTGCGTTGGATGTGGTTGGCTCTTCGGGTGGTATCCTGATTATGTGGGATGTCCGTTAGATCTCTTTGCTGGATTCTCAGGCTGAGCGGTTCTCGGTTTCTTGTCTTCTATCCATGGTGGAGGATGGCTTTCGGTGGGTTTTTTCTGGAGTCTATGGGCCTACGGAGGATAATGAGTGCCATTTGTTTTTGGAGGAGCTGGGGGAGATTCGTAGGCGATGGTCGTTGCCTTGGTGTATCGGGGGGGATTTCAACGTTGTTCGTTCCCCTTTTGAGAGATCGACAGGGGACAGATGGACAGCTGATATGGAGGCTTTCTCAGAGTTTATTGATACTTGCTGCTTGCTTGATTTGCCTTTGGTGGGTGGGCCTTTCACTTGGTCAAGTGGTCGTTCTCCTCCCACACTTTCTCGTCTTGATAGATTTTTGGTGTCGAGTGATTGGGAGGTGAAGTTTTCTGATGTTGTTCAGACCATTTTGGCTCGTCCTTTGTTTGATCATGTTCCGTTGCTGTTGGACTGTGGCGGGCTGCGTAGCAGAAGATCCCCATTTAGATTTGAGAATATGTGGCTCCGGACTGAAGGTTTCTTGGAGCGAGTTCGATCCTGGTGGGCGGGGTATGGAGTGGTTGGCACTCCGAGTCATACTTTGGCAGGCAAGTTACGCTTTTTGAAGAATGATCTTAAAGTCTGGAACAAAGAGGTGTTTGGTAACTTAGTCTGGAGAAAGAATCGGGTTCTATCTGAGATAGCTGACATTGATAAGATGGAGAATCAGGGTCTTTTGACGGGTCCTTTGAGACTTAGGAGGGTGGAGTGTCAAGCAGAGTTTGCTGAGATTGCTGTTTTGGATGAGATTTCATGGAGACAGAAATCTAGAGCTTTGTGGCTTAAAGAAGGTGACAATAACACTAAATTCTTTCATAGACTTGCTAATGCTCACAGAAGGGGCAACCACATTGGGAGGATTAGGGTGGATGGGGTGGTGATTAATAAAGAGGAGGAGATTAGTAAGAGCTTTTCCGAGTACTTTTCGTCTTTGTTCACTGAGTCAGCTGATTGGCGTCCTTTGCTTGATTGGCTTCATTTTGACTCTATTTCGGGAGAGGAGGGCTCTGTTTTGTAAGAGCCTTTTTCAGAAGAGGAAGTTCTCTCTGCTCTGAAGAGCTGTAATGGGGATAAAGCTCCTGGTCCGGATGGTTTTACTATGAGGTTCCTATTGGAGTGTTGGGAGGTGGTTCGTGAAGAGGTGATGGGTTCTTTTCATGTCTTCCATGCACAGGGTTCTTTTGAGAAAAGTTTGAATGCAACTTTTATTGTTCTTATTCCGAAGAACGGAGAGGCAATGGATGTTAGAGACTTCCGCCCTATTAGTTTGGTGGGATGTTTTTACAAGTTGATTGCGAAAGTCTTGGCCTCTAGGTTGAAGAAGGTAATAGATGGTGTCATTTCTGACTCTCATAATGCTTTTGTGGGAGGTCGGCAGATCCTGGATTCTGTTCTTATTGCCAGTGAATGTGTTGATTCCCGTTTGAGCAGCGGTGTTCCGGGTGTTCTTTGTAAGCTAGATATTGAAAAGGCATACGATCATGTGAGCTGGAGTTTCCTTCTCTACTTGTTAGAGAGGATGGGATTCGGTGGGCGATGAAGGAGATGGATTCTTTTTTGCATCTCTAGCGCTCGTTTCTCTGTCCTTGTGAATGGAGCGCCGTCGGGTTTCTTATCTAGCTCGAGGGGTTTGAGACAAGGGGATCCGCTTTCCCCTTTCCTGTTCCTTTTTGTGATGGAGGCTCTTAGCAGATTGCTAAAGAGGGCTGTGGATCTGGGTTTTTTGAGTGGCTTTCGGGTGGGCAGGAATGTTGCTAGTCAATTGGAGGTTTCTCATTTGATGTTTGCAGATGACACTATTATGTTTTGTGATGCGGATGAGTCCCAGTTGAGGTATTTGAGATGCGCTTTGATCTGGTTTCAAGTTGTTTCTGGCCTTAAGGTTAATGTTGGTAAGAGTATTCTTGTGCCTGTTGGGGATGTTCCGGAGATTGAGGTGTTTGCTCACATCCTTGGCTGTTGCACTGGCTCTTTTCCCATTTCTTATTTAGGATTGCCTTTGGGTGCTCCGTCGAGATGTGTCGAGAGCTGGGATCCGGTTGTGGACAGAGTCTAAAGGAGGTTGGCGGGTTGGAAAAAGCAGTACCTGTCCAAAGGGGGTCGGGTTACCCTGATTAAGAGCACCCTTTCTAGTCTGCCTACATACTTCTTGTCTCTGTTTTAGATTCCTTCTTCAGTGGCTGAGAGATTGCAGTGCAACTTCCTTTGGGGGGGGAAAGGTGAAGAGTTCAAATTTCACTTGGTTCGATGGGAACAAGTGTGCCGTCCAATTCGGTTTGGAGGCTTAGGGTTTCGGAGGTTGTTACCTTTTAATAAGGCTCTTCTTGGTAAATGGCTCTGGAGGTTTGGGATCGAGAGGCATTGGTTATGGAGGAAAGTTATTGCTTGCAAATTTGGGGAAAGTCGTGGTGGGTGGTGCTCCCTGGAAATGCGTGGTCCAAGGGGAGTGGGAGTTTGGCATTGTATTCGGAGGGGTTGGGATGATTTCTGCAAGCATGTTCGTTTTCGTATTAAAGATGGAAGGAGGATCAGTTTTTGGTTGGATCTCTGGTGTGGGGATCTCCCTCTTGCTCTCGCGTTCCCACGGCTCTACAGGATTGCTTCTCATCGACAGGCCATGGTTGTCGACTGTTATCATCTTGATAACGGGAGATTGTGTTAGGATGTTCGTTTTAGGAGGCATTTTCAGGATTGGGAGATCGAGGATGTTTCTCGTTTTCTGGAGTTGTTGTATAGCCAGGTGTTTTCTATTAGGGGATCAAATCGGTGGTTCTGGATTCCTACCACGCATGGCCGTTTTGAGGTTAGGTCCTTTTTCAGATGCCTTTCGTTTAGTCATGGAGATCCCTTCCCTTGGAAGTCTATTTGGCGGTCCAAGGCTCCTCGCAAGGTCGCCTTTTTTGCTTGGACCTCTGTTCTGGGTAATATTTTAACCCTAAAAAATCTGAGGAGGAGGAATCAGATGGTGGTCAATCACTGTTACATGTGCTTGTGTCATGAAGAGTCTATTGATCACCTCCTTTTACATTGCAGCATGGCCAGAGATTGTTGGGATTTGATGCTTCATTTATTTGGGGTTCATTGGGCTATGCCTTTCTCCTCTAGAGGGTTGATTGAGGCTTGGAGAGGCGTCTCTGTTGGGGCTGGCATTAGGGATGCTTGGAGGGCTACGCCGCTCTGTATCTGGTGGTGTATTTGGCTTGAGAGAAATAAGAGATATTTTGACGGGAAAAAGAAGCCTATTTCTATGCTTAAGTTCTCTGTTATTTTTACTCTTTTTTGTTGGGTTTCAAGGAGAGATTATAGATCTATGGAGGAAATTATTGTTTTTTTGGCCTCTCTGAAGGTCTAAGGCGCCCTTTGGCCCTTGTGTTCCTTTTGTTTCTTTGGGTTTCGCTCCCCTTTTTGAGCGTTTTTAATAAAATCTTACTTATAAAAAAAAAATAATAATAATCTGTCTAGTTGGTGTCAACACATATTTTATCAAAAGTCTTCATACAATTCCCAATTAAAGACAATTTATGTCATTCATTGACAACCAAAAGAGGAAATTCGATTCCTTGCCGGTTTGCAGTTGATTGTCTGGACTCTGAACTCTGGTCTGCAAAATAATATATAAATAATATTCCAAACCAAGCTTTGATCTCAACATATCTTTCATGAAAAATGATAACTATATATATATAAGTTGAGATCGAAATAATATATAAATAATATTCTGCTCTTTGCATCAACACTGCTTTTTTTATTTTTGCATGAAATAATATTAAGCTTTTTGCATTTTGTCAAAGCTCTTTATTTATTTATTTTTTTAAAATTGAAATGTTAATATTGCTTTGAAGCTCTGTATTTTTTTTTTGGTCAGAGTTGACGAGATGTTGCAGACGCTGATTACATGATGCTATTATTTTGTTATCTTGAATTTGATTGTAATTTGTACTTTAAAAGATGCCTAGTGATGGTTCAAGAAAGGATCCGGCATGGAATTACTCACATTTGGAGAATCCGAAAGATACAAATGCCGTCACTTGTAACTTTGCACAAAAGTTACAAAAGGAGGTATTTATCGGGCTAAACAACACTTAGCTGGAGGGTATAGATATGTGAGTGCATGCACAAGATGCCCATCTAGTGTTAGAGAAGAAATCAAAGAGTGCATGAGTAAGAAAAAGAAAGAAAAGGATCAAATGAATTTGTTACCTAGTGATGAGATTAATTTCATTGATGGAAAGGATGAGGATGACGTTATGAAAGTTAGCAATCGGGGAAAAAGGGTAGCTAGTGCAGGTAGTGTTAGTGTCAATTCCTCAAAGAGGCAAAAGCAAAAAGGACCGATTGATTTATATTTCACTCTTAGACCGGAAGTTGTGGTACAAAAAAGAAAGGAGGGGGGAAAACAGACAACCATTAATGATGCATGCAAGAAAGAGTTGAGAGGAAGAGCGTGTGCTGCTTTTGCAAGGTGGATGTATGATGCAGGAATTGCATTCAATGCTTTTAAGTATGATAGCTTTGCCGTTGCTAAACATCATTACTAATTTTTTTTAATAGCTAATTGGTGGGAAGCTTATGGCAAATCAACAAAACTTCTCCAAAAGTTTGCTATAAAGGTTTTAAGCCTTACTTGCAGTTCTTCTGGTTGTGAACGAAATTGAAGCGTGTTTGAGCATGTAAGTATCTACTAACTAGGTTTGTAATTTAATTGTTAAAAATTAAAATTTTAATTTTTTATACTTATTAGTTAAAGTTGAATTTATTGCAGCTTCATAACAAGAAAAGATATAGGCTCGCTCAAACTACTTTGAATGATTTAGTGTTCATCAAATATAATAGAGCATTGAGGCGTCAATATAATATGCGTGACACTCTTGATCTCATTTTACTCGATGACATTGATGAGAGCAACGAGTGGTTGACGGGGAGGATGGATGATTCTGATGCAAAACATGATCTAGTCTTTGAAGATGATTCCTTGACATGGGGTGATGTTGCTAGTTTTGTTGGTATTGGAGAGGATAGCAAGCCGCAACGGTCTACTAGATCAAAATCTAGTTCTAGTTCACGGTTACCAACAAAGGGAGCAGGAAGTTCTTCAGTTCGACTTATGGATGAGGATGAGGATGATTCAGATGAGATGGAAGAGGATCCTGAGAATTATGAATCATTTAGTGACGATCAAAATAATGTTATGCTTATTGATGACGAGGATGATATTTAAATTCGTTGGTGTTGTCTTCTTAGGAAGAAATGATGTTTATGTTTGTTTTAATTTTATCTCATAATTCTCCTTAGTTGACTTATGCATTTTTATGTTAATATGTTTGATTATTCATTGTTGAACTCAAGTACTAGATTTACTTGGTTTTGGCATCTTTATGTTGAATATTTAACTTAAGTAATTCATTTAATTGACTTTTGCATCTTTATATATACTATTGCATCTTTAATAATGTTATGCTTATTGATGACGAGGATGATATTTAAATTCGTTGGTGTTGTCTTCTTAGGAAGAAATGATGTTTATGTTTGTTTTAATTTTATCTCATAATTCTCCTTAGTTGACTTATGCATTTTTATGTTAATATGTTTGATTATTCATTGTTGAACTCAAGTACTAGATTTACTTGGTTTTGGCATCTTTATGTTGAATATTTAACTTAAGTAATTCATTTAATTGACTTTTGCATCTTTATATATACTATTGCATCTTTAATACTTTATTGGGTGGGTTTTTTTTTTTTTTTTTTTCAATGTGCGCCTTGCTTCAGTCGGGCGTGCGCCTTGCTTCAGTCGGGCGTGCGCCTCACCTTGCGCCTCAGGCTCCAGGAGGCATTTGCGCTTTTGTGCGCCTTGAGCCTTTAACAACTATGGATGGTAAGAGGATCAGATTTTGGGAGGATCTTTGGTGTGAGGAGCTTCCACTTGCTCTTGCTTTCCCTCGGCTTTATAAGATTGCTTCTCACAGACAGGCCATTGTGATTGACTGTTATCACATTGATAACGGGAGATTGACTTGAGATGTTCAATTTAGAAGACACTTTCAGGACTGGGAGATTGAGGAGGTTTCTCGTTTTTTAGAGGTTCTGTATCGCCAGGTGATCACAGCTGGGGATTCGGATTGTTGGCAGTGGGATCCTAACTCTCAGGGTCGCTTTGAGGTTAGGTCCTTTTTTAGGTGCCTTTCTATTGGTGATGGAGGCCCTTTCCCCTGGAAGTCTATTTGGCGTTCTAAGGCTCCCCTTAAAGTTGCCTTCTTTGCTTGGACTTCTGTCCTGTGTAAGATTTTAACCGGAGATAATTTGAGGAGGAAACAGGTGGTGGTCAATCGTTGCTATTTGTGCTTGTGTGATGAGGAGACAATTGATCACCTTCTACTTCATTGTAGCGTGGCCAGAGACTGTTGGGATTTGATGCTTGGATTATTTGGGGTCCAGTGGGTTATGCCTCGTTCCTCTAAAGGGCTGATTGAGGCTTGGAGAGGTGTTTCTGTTGGGGCTCTCGTGCGGGATGCTTGGAGGGCTACGCTTCTGTATTTGGTGGTGCATTTGGCTTGAGAGAAATCGGAGATATTTTGAGGGAAAGGAGAAACCTGTTTCTATGCTTAAGTTTCCTATTAATTCTACTCTTTTTTGTTGGGTTCAGGGAGAGATTATAGATCTTTAGAGGAGATTTTTGTTTTTTTTGGCCTCATTGAAGGTTTGAGGTGCTTTTGGCCATGTGTTTCAGGGGGTTCTACTCCCCTTTTGAGCGTTTTCTATATAATCTATCTTACTTATCAAAAAAAAAAACATAATGTGAAGACACAATAGTAAAATGCGCATTGATGTGCCTCCAAACATCACCATAGGGTGTTAGATCAAGGTTAACTTAAGATGCATAAAGGTGTCTTTGTGACTTGGCAAGAATCATTGACCAATAACATGTCTCAGGGATGTGATTCACAATTTCGCTTACACTCTCAGTTCAGGTAGTTAGCAAGTTGCACAATTTCAAATCAATATTCTTCACCAAAATTATGAAAGAAATTACCTGAAGTATAGGTCTTGAACAGTCTGAGCAGTGTCTGCAACCAAGAATGGCTGTTGAGTTTCTGCAAGATAATATGGGTCACTGGGAGCTGGCAGACGTTGCTGCTCAATAGTTGGATGGATATGACCCGTGGTTGCGTTGGTTCGATACCATTCATGCTGTGAGGTTAAAGGAATTTGCTGAACACATAAAGGTTCCATTATTGATGGAGCATGACCATGTTGCATCCCGGCCATATACGAATCCTTCGGAGGAGGAAACCTCACTGAGGGATGGAACTGATCCTCCGACAGTGGAGGTGGCATTGCCTGCGGTCGGGCCATATATGGTATTGAAGGGGGCACAGGTGCTGATGAAGATGCAGCAACTGGACGAAATAAGGATAACAGATTCCTTACCTGCATTGTGAAGACAAAATTTAATCAAGACATGGTAGGGTTATAGAAAAGTAACGTGAAAGAGCCAAATTGATAAAGATACATTCAAACATCATAACCACAAAGGAAACTGAATCTTACTTGCTGGCCAGTGAGTTCTTGACTAAATTTGGCACCCTGATAGTTATCCTGTATTGCATTTTTGAAAGCACTCTCCGGCAGGGGAAGACAATCCTTGTAAATATTAAACCTCACCTGAACAAAACATATTAGCAGCCTCAAGACACAAGGCAGGTAGGAATTTACTCTACTGTTTCAAACCAGTGTTGCTGATGAATGACAATAACATGTCCAAAAACTTTGCGATCCAGGAGGGCATATACCAGCAACGATCACTTAGCTATATGGCACTATGTGTAACATGAACAATGAATACCACAAGTTACAAATAAGTACAGCCAAATGGGATATTTATATTACGAAACAAGGAGCTAAATAACTACCATGACTCAATCACTAATATTTTTAGGTCTATGATTCAACACCATTCTTCGAATCTTCGTTATGTAAACGATAAAGTCCCATCTAGCTCTCACACCAAAATTCTACAAGATACCTTCTGCATCATTCAACAATGAGTGTGTATCCATCATTGGTGATACCTTGTCGACATAATTCTACGCAAACCATGTGGAGTCCCGTGAATAAAAACTGGCGGTATTACCCTTAAGATGATGGAGGTCCCAAATGCACTACGATGTGTTAAGGCGAGAGTGGCTTGTAAAGAAGAGTATTGGTGGCGAGGTCACCACAAACTCATCAGGTCAAATCTTAACACTTGAGACTAGTCTAAGGTCAAGGTCTATCTTATGTGTTCTCAATGCTCTTTGGAGCAATCTCCTAAATGTGCCTGAGATGCATGCTTGTTAGTCTAAGGGCCCATAAATGTAGTTGAGTTGGACCATAAGGAAGAGGGATTGGATGATGCGGAGAGCACATGATGTGGAAAGCACATGATTTGCAGAGCAATAAAAGAGAGGAATGCAAGGCGGAGATCTGTGAGATTGTCATTATGGAGAATCTCTTGGCGGCAAAAGTCATGGGCTTTGTGGCTTGAGAAGGGGGATAGGAATATGAAGTCTTTTCCATCAGCTCACGAATGCTCACAGAAGGGGTAACCACATCAGAAGCCCTCACAAAGATGGTAGTTTCTTGTGTAGGGAGGAGGACATCAAGTGAAGGATCACTACATTTTATCATCAATTTTACACACAGCAACAAAAATAAGACCCTTGCTAGATGGCTTAGGATTCGGTAGCATCTCGGTTGAAGACCGAGAGTGGCTGGAGAGGCCTTTCGGGATAAAGGATGTGGAAATGGCATTGAAGAGTTGTAATGGAGGCAAAGGCACCAGGGCCGGATGGCTTCACAATGACCTTCTTCCAACATAATTGGGAGGTGGTGAAGGAAGAGGTGATAGACTCTCATAGATAAAGCCCCCTTGGTTGGGCAGAGTGATTAATGGCATCATATCAGACTCTTAGAATGCCTTCAGTGGTGGACATCAGATTTTGGACCTAGTGCTGACAGCTAGTTAGTAATTTGGTGTGTGGAGTCCATGCTCTGGAGTGGGATTCCAAGATTCATTTGCAAAAAGGAAATTGAGAAGGCATATGACCATGCTAATTGGAGGTTCCTGGTGTATGTTAGAGAGGATGGGATGTGGTGAGAAATGGAGGTCCTGGATTCTCTTTTGCATTTCCACAGTGAGATTCTTAGTCCAGGTGAATGGGTCCCCAAAGAATTTTTCTCCAGCTCCCGAAGGTTGAGACAGGAATTCATTATCCCCGTTCCTTTTTATCATCATGATAGAGGCATTAAATAGATTTATGAGGAGCAAAGGATCATGATTATGTCAGGGATTCAAGGTGGGTTAGGGTCCTTCTAATCCATTGATGGTGACTCACCTTTTTGCCGATGATAACATTGTATTTTGTGAGGCCGAGGAGGAGCAGTTGTGATATCTGAGATGTGTTTAGTAAGTTTGCTTTCAAGTCGTTTCAGGCTTGAAGGTCAGCATCAGGAAGAGTAAGTGCCGGTGGGGGAGGTTAGCTGTGGGGGAGGTTGGTAAGATAGATCATTTGGTAGATATTTTGGAGTGCGGAGTGGGGGCCTATTCCGCTAATGTATTTTGGATTGCCACTGGGGGACTCAGTCCAAGAGAATGGCTTCTTGGGACTTCGTGGTGGAGAGTTTTGAGAGGAGGTCAGCAGGTTAGAAGAAACAGTACCGGTCGAAAGAGAGTCGTCTCTCATCAAGTACATTGTCGAGCCTTCCAACACACTACCTCTCTTTGTTTCAGGTTCCCATTTTAGTGGTGAGGAGTATTAACAAGCTACAAAGGAAATTATGGGGTGGTTTGAGGGAGGAATTTAAGTTCCATTTGATTCGATGGAAGAAGTTTTGCAGCCCTATTCAATGAGGGGGATTGGGAGTCCAAAGACTGCATTTGTTCAACAATGCATTCTTGAGCACTTTGGAGATTCAGTTGAAAGGAACAGACCGTGGAGGAGGATCATTGCTTGCAAATTCGAGGAGGATAGGGGGGGATGGAGGTCTAGGAAGGTGAGATCCCCTAGAGGGGTATGCGAGTGAAAATTCATTCGGAAGAGTTGGAATGAGTTTTCAAAACATAATTTGATTCAAGGTGAGATGCGGGAGATTTGTTCTATTTTGGCTCGATTCTTGGTGTAGTGATAGGCCCTTAGCATGCATCTTCACAATACGCATCAGGATAGCAGTGGGTCTTCAGGGTTTAGTGGGTGACTGTAATCGTCTTGAAAGCAGGAGGATGGCCTCGGATGTGTGGCTTGGGAGGTATCTTCAGGGTTTGGAGTTGGAGGATATTGTTGATCTCTTGGCTTTGCTATATAACCAAAATGTGGATGGGGACGCAGTGGATGAGCGGACTTGGATGGGGTCTGGGAAGGGTTGCTTCGAGGTGCAATTTTTTTTTAACAGAGTTTGTTGGAGGGTCGTGGGCCTCCTATCCTTGGAAGACGATTTGGAGGAGGCGACAAATTATTGTGAATTGGTGTTGCATGTGTAAAAGGGATGAGGAGTCAGGTGAATCATCTCCTTTTGCATTGCCCAGTGGCAAGGGACAATTCAGCCACGTTGCTTACTATTTTCGATATGCATTGGGTGATGCCGAGCTCCACGAGTTGTACTCTTGAGACTTGCAGAGGGTCTGTATTGGAGAGCCAAACCCGAGATGCGTGGATAACAGCCCCCTTTTGCTTGTGGTAGGGCTTGTGGCGCGAGACTCCAATTTCGGCACTTAAATTCCCTATCCTTAGTTCCTTGTTTTTTTTATTAACTCGTGGATGGAACTGTAAAGCTATAGATGATTGTTGAAAGGCTGACAGCCCCACAGTATAACGGACCCTTTTGGGTCCCTTTGCACTTTTGTATATGGGGTGCTTCCCTCTTGGGCACACTTCAATAAATTGTTACTTATTATATATATATAAAAAAAAGTGCCAATAGACTTAGTTTATAGGTCTATTAATAAATAGAATATTAAAAGGGCAAGGAGGTGCTAGTAACTGTGTGGGTGTCAAATGAGGTTCAATTATGTACCACCACCGGGTGTCCAATGGGATGCTTCTGTGTCTATTTGGGATGATCTGATAGGATGCATTATGACAGCCATAACTGCAGTGTGCAGATGATGTTGAGACAACCAACCATCCTTCGTAAGACCACAACAGTCCGATGAGATGCCTACGCATATCTCTCTCTCTCTCTCTCTTTCTGATTCGATTTCTTCAATGGCCCGCCGCCCGCCCTATCTCCTGAAGGGTGACACACAGAAACAGAATGTGGGTTAGGCACTCTTTCCCATCTACCAGACATGGCTGATGAAGAAATGCTCATTGAAGATTGTTCCAATGGATGCTTATGAGGGATATTAAAAGATTTTCGGTCTTATTTGTTAGATTTTGCTTCTATCAGGTTCAATGAGGCTTCTGGTTCAAAACTAGGGTTTGCACACTGAAGATGTTTCTTTCTTCCACGCTGTAACTCCAGAGTGATTTGTGCGCATTAGAAAATTTTGAGACTTCAAATCTCCATAAATGTCATAAAAATTCATGTAAAGGTAACTAATTAAAAGATAAAAACATATAACATTTTTTTTTTTTTTTTGCAGGAAAGCAATGATACAACTGTAATTGTGTCCCAAATACCCATGTCCAATTTCGGACTCTTCTTAGCCGGCTAGACTAGACTAGAAGATCCTACAATTTTAAATGTGGATGATTCAACCTTCAGATACACATCTGAAAACGACACTTGTACCCAAGTTTGTGTAACATAGACTGAAATTGTACACTTACGATGGAGTCACAAGCATTGTATAAAAATGCTGACACAAATGTGGTTTAATGGACTCGGGGTCGTATCAGGGATAATGTACAAGAATCAGTTATAGTGGTCATGAAATATTAATTATATTATCAACTTTGCACACTATCATATGTGCAAAATTGAAACTCAGACTGGGGGATAATGTAACAGAATCGGTTGCGGCAGTCATGAAATTTTAACAGAATCGTTTGCAGCAGTCATGAAATTTTAACAGAATCGTTTGCAGCAGTCATGAAATTTTATTAACTTTGCACATCATCATATACGCTAACTTGGCTTCAGTCCCAAGACTCTGCCAATTACCTAGAAACTCATCCGATTCCCTAAGGAGTCAGTCGAATCCCATATGATTCTGATCTCGTCGATATATTGTTGAGTATCGGACAAGAACTCGGTTGAAAAAGTTAAATGTGTCCCAAATACCCATGTCCAATTTCGGACTCTTCTTAGCCAACTAGACTAGACTAGACTAGACTAGACTAGACGTATCCTACGATTTTAAATGTGGATGATTCAACCTTCAGATACACATCTGAACCCGACACTTGTACCCAAGTTCGCGTAACATAGACTGAAATTGTACACTTGAGATGGAGTCACAAGCATGGTATAAAAACGCTGACACAAATGTGGTTTAATGGACTCGGGGTCGTATCAGGGATAACATGCAAGAATCAGTTATAGCGGTCATGAAATATTAATTATATTATCATCTTTGCACACTATCATATGAGCTAAATTGAAACTCATACTGGGGGATAATGTAACAGAATCGGTTGCAGCACTCATGAAATTTTATCAACTTTGCATACCATCATATACGCTAACTTGGCTGGAGTCCCAAGACTCAATTCCCTAGAAACTCAACCGATTCCCTAAGGAGTCAGTCGAATCCCATATGATTCCGATCTCTTCGATATATTGTTGAGTATCGGACAAGGACTCGGTCGAATAAATTACAACTTGGCCGCATCATTATGAATTGACTGATATAGTCACAAGAGGCCACTGGTCGACCAAGAGAGTTAGTCTAATGCTCTTTAGGTCGTTTTTGTACTGAAGGTATCTGAGCTCTTAGTTAGATTTATATTGTGCATGGATGAGGGGAAACAATGCTCATGTCAATGATGGCATCTAACAATATTGTGCCACCTATTCCTATTCAGTCCAACAAGATGCTACCATGTGTCAGAGGTAAATAAGATATGACATGCAAGGTTTTAAATAGCGGAAGGAACTACAGATGCAGAGATGCAGACAGGGTGCAGCAGATAATGGCTTAATGGGTGTTACGTAATGGTATCCAAAATTGAGGCTTTGAAAACTTTTCCACCTCACATAGTCCGATCAAATTAAGCTGAGACAAAAAATTAAACTCCAAATAACAAAGATGAATTTGTAATTTCTTACTAGATTTTGATAAACACTTTTAAATGATTTATCAAAGTAGCAATCAATATATCGTATCTTAAGTCATCATCAATATTAAGCATTTATTACTATTTTTCATTTTATTTTTGACTCCGTACTTAACAGAAAACAAATAAAAAACAATCAACTTAAACATGCCAAAAGAACACATACATAACAATGTTGTATAATGGAAGATGGTACCTAAAACAAGGAACATATGTCACTCTTACGACAACGCAACGAACCCAAGAACAAATCAAGAAATACGACAAAAAAACTAAACACACCACACACAAAGAACACAAAGATTTCGTGCAGTTCGGCAAAGCCTACATCCACGGTAGAGATCCGCAAAAGTTTTCATTATGCGAAAAATAGGATATTACAAGTTTCAACCCCCAAACCTTATTTCTCATTCTCACTCTTTTTCTCTGCGATTTTTAGTGTCTCTTGATATCCCACTCTGAACCCTAAACACCCTTATATATTGGGCTACAATAGAGTACTAAATAGGGTCCACAACCAAGAAGCAAAAACTGAGTCAAAATCAACAGGTCATCGGGTCGAAGACCCGGCACCAAATTCGGACCACAACTTCACAGTCACCACCCAAATAAGTCGTGGGCAGTAATAAGAGGATCTTCTAGACAAGATTGAGATTCTTGTTGGATATAAGATGTGCAAGACTCTTCCTAAGTCGTGGGCAGTAATATGTTTCTTTTTCTCAGCATTCTTAAACAAGTACCACTTGGAGCTTGGGATAAAAATTAATTAATTAATTAATTTAAAAAATAAAAAATAAAAACGAAGAAGAAGAAGAAGAAAAAAAGACAACTACCTGTGCAGGAAACCTCCCTCCAAAAGCAGCCGGTTCCAAGTTCAATTTTCCGCTTGAGGTTGCATCATATACACCATAGAGAAGCTTTAGATCAATATCAAACAAGAAAAGCTTTGTACCAACATTGATCTTCTCTAGAACTTCCCTTCTCCCCCCAGGAAGCCCAAAAACACGATATTGGTAGCACTCTGGCTTTGTCCTTCCATTACACAAAAATATGAAACCAGAGAGTCGTTCTGAATTGTCCTTGTCCTTCCCCTTTCCCTGAGAACCAGCAACACTGCCATTAGTGGCAGGAGCAGAAACAGGGGCTAGTTCAGGACAGGAGAGAGGGGCAGGAACAGGCACGAGAGCATTAGTTGCTTCAACCATTAAAGCCTTTTTCTTCTTTATCTTCTTGTTGGCATTTGTTATGCTTTTGGGCTTCGTTCTTGGCATAAGCAAAACTGTTGTATTGGGGAAAGAAAAAACAAAGAGGCACCACTTAGATGAACTTCAAGCACAACAGCGACCCAAAACCATACAATCTGACCAGGGATTGAGGCAAAAAACTAAAGCTGGAAAACAATGAGAAGATGGGGCTACGGCAGAACAAGAAACCTATCAAACTGCAAACGGGGAGTGAAAAACTTACTAAACACAGTTACTGCAACATAAGAACAATAAATAAACTAAATATTGCCTCTCCTCGAAGAAATAAAGGGAGGGCAAACTAACCAACTTGAGACATTTGTCTCCCAGCAAACACCAAAGCTGTTTGAACAAAACAATCAGTCAATAGCATATTCGACCTTTCTAAGAATAGATTTCTTCACTCGTTTACTTTATGTTACCCCAGCAATCCATAGATTTTCTGAGTCATATCATCCTCTGCCTTACTCTCCTCCCACCACCACCCACTTTACCATCTTATGGGTTTTCACACATCTCATCATCTTATTTTTTCATGCCATTCCAAAGATTCCTCAGATATGACATTCTTAAACTATCAGTCTCTTCATTCATCCATCTCAACACTCTCATCTTTGTAACAATCATTTTATTAACAATCGTTCTTGGTCATATGACAATTTTCTACATATCAAGGTCAATTGTCTTGCTTTTTTTTCCCTTTTTTTTTTTTTAAATCTTTTTTTTTTTTTTTAGTAAGGGTCAATCTTCTTGCTTTTCACTGTTTAATTCCTTTTAATTTTTCAAGCAAGCTACAAAAACTTAGAAACAAATTTTTGCTTTAGCCAACCACCTCCACAAAATAGACACATAATCCAATCAAAAGACTTATTGGCTAAAATTAGGTAACCAAATTCACCAGATATTACTCCATTGTATGTTTCCTACAATAAAATGAGAAACGTCTTTTACTCTAGAGGTCATCTATTTCCACTTAATAAATTATGATAATTATCTAACTAAAAATATTATGCAGGTATATTTTTTATTTATAAAAAAATATATATAAATAAAGGTATTTAAAATTGGTCAAAACCTAAAAATGATTTTTATTTTTATTTAAAAAAAAAAAATCAAGTATAAAAAACAGCCAAGAACAGCAATTAGAGAAACTAAATATAGATCATATGATGCACTTTATCCTAAATTAAAGTAAAAGAAGAAAAATGAGAGAATTGTGTAAAGGCTTGAATGAGATAAATCACTCATTCACAGTTCTAGAATTTATAGATAAAAAGAGCACATGCTCATATTCCAAGAAAGGAAATTAAATCAAATCTAAATCAAATCACAGCATATTCTAAAGCATAATCAAATCTCTACTAATAGGGTAAGTCATTCCATAAATCGTGGCTATCATATCTGCTAACACTCCTCCTCAAGTTGGTGCGTGCATATCTGAAACGCCCAACTTGGATAATGCATTCTCAAACACAACCTTAACGCCCTCTATAAGAATGTCTACGAGCAGTTGAGAGCTTGTCACAAATGTAGTACAAATCTGACTAGCGACGATTTTCTCTTAGATGAAATGCCGATTAATAAATTAAAAATGTCTCCTCAAGTGATAAACAATTAACAATGTCTCCTCAGACCATAAACAACCAATTATGTCCCTTAGACCGTAAACAGCCAACAATGTCTCCTCAAACCATTTCCCTTCATACACATGTTTAAAACATGTAGATGGAAGAATCAACAATGTCTCCTCAGACCATTCCCCTTCATACATACATTTAAACAATGTAAACGAAAGAATCAACAATGTCTCCTCAAACCGTAAAAAGAAACAACCATGCCTCCTTAGACCATTTCTAAATAGGTGGTGCCAAACTCGCAACGCCCTCATTGAGGCGGACCACCCTACCTACCCAACACCTCCCGGATGGGAGATGTCACCTTGGACCATTCTCAAATGGGTGGTGCCGAACTCGCAATGCCCTCATTGCAGTCGGACCACCCTAGCTCTGATACCAAGTAGAAATATAAAAAGAACAAAAATGAGAGAATTGTGTAAAGGCTTGAATGAGAAAAATCACACATTCACAGCTCTAATATTTATAGATAAAAAGAGCACATGTTCATATTACAAGAAATGAAATTAAATCAAATCACAACATATTCTATAGCATAATCAAATCTCTACTAATATGGTAATTCATTCCATAAATCGTGGCTATCATATCTCCCAAGTTCCCAACAATTAACTTTCTAAAATTAGGAAAGGAAATCTAGAGATTTTAATAAGATTAACTGCATCAAGAACGAGAATTTAAAAATCTTAACAAAAGATGGTGAAATGAATCAAAAGTAAACCAAAAAAAAAAAAAAAGAAGTTAAAAGAATTGTAAAGAAAGGTTAAATTTAGAAAATATAGTAACCTCGTGAATCCTTTGTTTGTTTGGAAGGAAGGAAGGAAGGAGGAAGCTTCCATCGCTTGGTTGGAAGCAAGGGAAGAGAGAGAAAGGAAGAAAGGAGGGATGAGGGATGGAGGGATGAATTGGTAAAACATATTCAAGGCATTATCTTTCTGTCCCTCATATCAAATAGACGAAGGGGTCAGTCACCTCCTTCCTTCCCAGCCACTCAACCAAACAAGAGGATGGATGAGAAACCTCCATTCCCTAGAATGTCTCTTCCATCCTTCCTCCTACCTCTTCCCTCCGTTTTTCCGTCCCTCCTACCAAACGAAGTAAAAGATTAGAGAAAACAAAATTTCTTGCAAGATTACTGTGTATGAGTTGAGGATGCATTGACGAAGATTGAAGAAGGGCAAGGACTGTAGGATCAAATGACATTTCTGTTGATAATGTGTTTGGAAGATGATAGTGGGTCTTTACAAACAAAATTCTTCAATAAAATTAACTGTAACTAAGGCAATCCAAGAGGAATAACACGAAGTATTTTAATACCCAAATCTAAAAACAGAAGTGATATTAAAGTTGTACAAATTATTATGACAACGAAGTACTAAATTAATGACTCCCAATATGAAACTTTGGAGAAAGAACCTAAAAACAACCAAGATATAAAACTACAGTATCTGAAAATTAATTTGAAATTATAACATAAAGATCAATATTATAAAAGATCAATAACCAGTAGCTATCTATTTAGTCAAGAGACTAATAATGGAAACAGAGCAGAAAAAAATTATATAGCATTTTATGAATTTGGAGAAATCCATTAGAAATATGATATGGAGGAATTTATAAAGGAAATGAGTCTGAAATAAATATATTGGCATAATAAAGTACATTTTTTATGCAGCCATGGATACAATTAGTGTTACGACCAACCCCAACCCGTGTAGATATTGTCCGCTTTACACACTCTCCTATATGTGCTCATGGTTTTGCTCAAAACGCGTCTATAGGGTTAGGGGTTTCCACACATATAAATGCCAGGAACTTCTCCCCCCAGGCAATGTAGGACTGGGACGTCACAATTAGAATACTCTTGGGAGAAAGAATTCAATCCCAAATCTTGAGATCAGAAATTATTGATGAACTTAAAAACCACATTGAAAGTGTGGTTTAGTGGCTGCAACGATATTTTTTGTGGGGTGGTAAAGGGGAGGAGTTCAAGTTTCATTTGGTAAATTGGGAGAGGGTGTGCAATTCGATTCGGAAAGGAGGGTTGGGAATTAGAAGACTAGTGCCTTTTAATAAGGCCTTATTGGGGAAATGGCTTTGGAGATTCGGAGTGGAAAGGCACCAACTCTGGAGGAGAGAAATTGCGTGCAGACATGGGGAAGTGAATGGAGGATGGTACTCCTCTTCTGACGTGAGAATCCCATTTGGGGTAGGGGTTTGGAAACACATCGGGAAGGGTTGGGACGAATTCTCCAAGCACTTCAGATTTGTGTCAAGAATGGAAGGAGAATACATTTTTGGGATGATATTTGGTGTGGGGATCATTCCCGTGCTGTCATGTTCCCTACACTTGATAGAATTGCTACTGATAGACAAGCCATGGTGATCGACTGCTATCATCTTGATAGTGGAAGAAGATATACGCTTTTCAAGGCTGTTTCAGGATTGGGAGATGGAGGACGCATTGGGTTTTTTGGAGTTGTTGTATCACCAGGAGATTACAGATGAGTCTTCCGACTTTTCTGTTTGGTCCCTATCTCACATGGGCGGTTTGATGTTCGGTCATTTTATTGTTGTCTTGTGGAGGTTCCTGCACAGTCCTTCCCTTGGAGAGCCGTTTAGCGAACAAAGGTGCCTCTAAAAGTCACATTTTTTGCACGGACATCCGTTCTGGGAAAGATATTGACCCGGGACAATCTTCGGAAAAGAAGTCAGAGAGTGGTTAATTGGTGCTTTATGTGCAAAATTGAAGAGGAAACAGTTGATCATCTCCTTTTACACTGCCCAGTGGCTACAGATTGTTGGTGTATGCTATTGGGTTTGTTCGGGATTTATTGGGTTTTGCCACGGACTACTAGAGGCTTGATCGAGGCTTGGAGAGGTTGTTCAGTGGAGACCCAAGTTCGTGATTTTTGGAGGGTTATTCCTTTGTACGTTTGGTGGTGTCTTTGGCTAGAAAGAAATAGGAGATCCTTTTAAGGAAAGGAAAATCATATTGGGGCATTGAAAATCTCCATTCTCAACTCTCTTTTTTGTTGGGTCCAAGGGAATAATTGTAAATCCCCGGAGGATTTTCTTGACTTTTTGGATTTGTTGAGGCTTTAGAAGCCTTTGTTTCTTGGTTTATGTTGTTTGAGGGATGCATTCCCCCTTTGAAGGGTATCAATGAACTCACTCTTATAAAAAATAAAAAAAAGTGTAGCTTAGTGGAGTATGCTATTTGCTAAAAATTTTGTTTTAACAAATAAAATTAGAACAGAGATATATGATAACTCAAATGTCTAGAGAACAGCTTTACAATATAAGATAAAATTCAGTATGTAAATTTTTTTTGGGGGGGAGGGGGATTTAAAAGACACTAAAAGATGTATGTTTTTGTTGTCTAAAATTTATTATTCACA